CTTAATACATCAACCTAAAACTTTCTCTCCTCTTATCTTAACTCTTAAGGTACACGAACACGACCTTCTCTCCGTTTATGCTTTGCTTTTTGCCTATTTAATTTTCGTTTTTGTTCTCCGATCTGTGTTGGCTTAATTCTAATTGTCTCCCTAGTTTTATAATCTTAAGAGATACAATTAATGTGTATATTCTCATGTTGTTCTGGGTTTTTGATCGAAATGAAAACCCTCGGAAACTTTGTTAAATCAAGGCCGGAATCTCTGATCTGCTCTTTTGCTGGAAACCAAAAAATCTGGTTTTTTTTTTTGGTGAAGAAACACTCAAAATGAGCTTGAGATTTGGCTCATCATTGTAATGATGCCATAAGCCTTTGATCGGGGGAACATTTCGTATCTTATTACCAGAATTCATGAGAGTGTCTTATGTGTGTCTTAGTTTCTTTGCAACTTTTTTTCTTGTACAAATCTGATTTATTTGCTTCTCATAAACTGTTTATAGGGTTTTTGACTATTGGTACAAATCTGTCATTTTTGGTAATACTTTTGGGTTCATTATTCTCAAGTATTGCTCTCTCTTAGAATAATTTTACCTCTGTGTGTGTTTTTGGTTAATGTTAATGGTACTTGCATAATCATCCTCGCAATAAACAGAATTTGTCATCCTTTTGGTGTTTGGTGATTGGTTGATTAGTGTAATACGTATGGTTGGTTTGAATTTTGTCTTGTTTGTGTATAATCATCCTTATGTTTGCAGTGTTTGTTTCTAGTTAAGAGTATGTCTCACAGAAAGTTTGAGCATCCAAGACATGGTTCCTTGGGTTTCCTTCCAAGGAAAAGGGCTAACCGACATCGTGGAAAAGGTAAATAGATATTATAATCATATGCTTATTCACCAATTTCTTGCAGATTCTGTATTTGACATAATGTTTCTGTATCTTATCTTATCCTACTATGTAGGATAGACCATGACTTCAGTTTTTTCTTTATCTACTACCATCATGTGTGTTCTGTTTTAAAGCAGCTTCACACCTAGTTTGTGTTTTGACCTGACATGCCTAGTTTGTGTTTCCAGTGAAGGCCTTTCCTAAGGATGATCCCACTAAGCCTTGCAGGCTCACTTCCTTCTTGGGATACAAAGCTGGAATGACTCACATTGTGAGAGAGGTCGAAAAACCTGGATCAAGTATGTTCTTACTCTCTCCTTTTATTGATTCGCAGGAGTTAGGTAACTGTTGCATGTGGTTTAAATGTAGCATGTGGTTTTTTGCTGATCTTTGTAATTGTAATTGCCAGAACTCCACAAGAAGGAAACATGTGAAGCTGTTTCTGTGATTGAGACACCTCCCATGGTGGTTGTTGGTGTAGTAGGGTATGTGAAGACTCCCCGTGATCTGCGCACCCTAAGCACTGTGTGGGCTCAGCATTTGAGCGAAGAAGTAAGGAGGAGGTTTTACAAGAACTGGTGCAAATCCAAGAAGAAGGCTTTCACCAAATACTCGTTGAAACATGAAACCGAAGAAGGTAAAAAAGACATTCAAAGCCAATTGGAGAAGATGAAGAAGTACTGCAATGTTGTCCGAGTTCTCGCTCACACTCAGGTATTCTATCTTTCTCAATATGGACAGTAACTATATTAGTTTTATTTGCTTACTCTGTTTCTAATTACTTTCCTGTATGCATTAGATAAGGAAAATGAAAGGGCTAAAGCAGAAGAAGGCTCATCTGAATGAGATTCAAATCAATGGTGGAGACATTGCAAAGAAGGTTGACTATGCTTACAGTTTATTCGAGAAGGAAGTCCCTGTCGATGCCATCTTTCAGAAAGATGAGATGATTGACATAATCGGTGTTACTAAAGGAAAAGGTTATGAAGGTGTGGTTACAAGATGGGGTGTGACCCGTCTTCCAAGAAAGACTCACCGTGGACTGCGCAAGGTGGCTTGTATTGGTGCTTGGCATCCAGCTAGAGTCTCCTACACGGTTGCTAGAGCTGGGCAAAATGGGTACCACCACCGTACTGAGATGAACAAGAAATTTTACCGGGTTGGGAAAGTTGGCCAAGAGACTCACTCAGCGATGACCGAGTTCGACAGGTAATTAGAACAACTAACCTTGAGATACTTCAATCGTCTATATTATGTAATGAACATGGCTTATTGTTCCTTTTGCTGGTTTCTTGTTTTGACAGAACCGAGAAGGATATCACACCGATGGGAGGATTCCCGCACTATGGGATAGTGAAGGAAGATTACTTGATGATCAAGGGTGGTTGCGTAGGTCCCAGGAAACGGGTGGTGACGTTGAGACAGACATTGTTGAAGCAGGCGACTAGCACTACAAGAAAACAACCACTTTTCCGACGGAAATTCCGACGGCCGAGATTTCCGTCGGAATTTTTCGACGGTTTACCGACGCAATTGCGACCAAAATTAATCCGTCGGAAATCCGTCGGTTAATTCCGACGGAATACCGACGATAGATAAAACCGTCGAT